ATACGAAGGATGTAATACAGTAATGTCACTTCCTGGTTCAACGATTGGTGCAGAACGGGCGCGGACGACCGCGCCAAACGCAGCCGCACTGACCCGCCCCGACAGTCCGTAATGATGAGGAGAGTAAATCAATAATTAAGACCAAAAAATTGATCAATCGTTGCTTTACGCATAAAAATCAATAAATTATTTTGTATGACCTGCTAGCGGATGATTTGCGCATATTTGTTGTTGTTGTGCATATTTCTGTCACAAACCCTTGAAATTAACTTCCATATCGCTATTGATCGATTGGATATCCTAGCAGGCGCAGTTCGGCGACGGGGGGGGGGCATTTTGTACTATCTAAAGGCTGTCTAGATAGGTCGACACGTCGATGGGAAGTAGCAATGGTGCAAAATGCCTCCCTCCCCGTCGCCGAACTGCGCCATCCTAGCGCCACCGCATCGACAGGGCTACCAGAATCTTACAGGACTATGACGGCTTGATGACCGAGCGAATTTGAGAAACAACGACGAAGCATACATAATTTAATTACAGAGACAACGTAGGTAGTCGATATATAGACTATTTACTGAGAGTAAAGCAACACATAGTTGATTTATTTACAGAAACAATGTAGGTAATCGATATATCGATTACTTTTGAGAGTGAGTAAAGCAAAATATACATACACACATGAGTTATTCACTGGAACAACCAGGTACTCAATATATCGATTACTTTTTGAGCGTGAGCAAAGCAATGGCGATGCTGCAGCAAATCACATGGCAAATTGTGGTGATGTAGAAGTGGTAGTGTGCAGACCACATCTTAACACTGCCGTGACGCAATCCTAAAATCAATACGAAACTGTAAATCGATAACTGATCAACGAACTGTACTCACTTGAATGTTACGATACGGTATCGTGACGGCACACATCGTTATCGCATAGGATTCTCGTAATCGCAAAAGGCGGTCGTCAACTGAGCGCAGATCTTCTTGGAGAATTTCACGCAGTAACCTGAACAGGAGTGGGTTGGTCCCATGAAGAAGAGACGGTTACGCCAGCGAAACAAACCTGGACGCCATGAGATTCCACTGTGGGATGCCAAATTGTCGAGCTTCGTCAAAACGTAGTTTGATCTCACGTTCGATGGACGATCGAAGCTCGATTAGAGCATCTTCCGACACCTAAATGGCATTTCTCAGAGATGTAGCATGCCGGACAGATGCTGTTGCGACACATTAGAAACCTCCAGAGGAACTCCCGCCTACCGGCTGGACAACTCCGCCCAACACAGCTTCTATTTCTTTATTTATTATTACCAATTTACAAGAATTAACGATTATCTACAATTATTAACTATTTCACGCCCAACTACATGAACACCACATTGTATGCCCTGATCACGCTCGTCAGCCACGCCCACTGATCAGGCAGCTCCGCCCACCATAACCTTTAGTACGATGTTCATTACTAACAATTTCCACTTATCAGCAACTATTTGCAGTTATTAACAATTATACACCCCACTACATGAATTTTTTGAACATTGTTCACCTCGATCACGTCTCCTTCTGAGAACGGCCCGCCCAACGAGGCAACCCCGCCTGCTACGGCTTTCATACTTCTTTAGCTCTTATTTTTTACTATTGCAAATTATAAACAGCGAAAATACCTGAGCGTAAAGAATCGACGGCGTCTGTATGGACTGAAAATCGTCCATTTCCTTGTCAAACAACGGCTTCCAATCGCTCGATCTCTGGAATTTTCAAGATTCTCAGAGGAGTTGGCATTACCAGTGTAGATATCGATCGTAATGATGGTAATGTTTTTATGGAAAATTTTGTTTAGTGATAAAAGGATAGTAGTAGCTGTTATGTAGAGCTGCAAGAAATTATCGCTGCAAGGAATCGCTCACTTTTCACTAGGTAAGCGAAGATGCCTTTTGCTATGGTGAAAGTGCAAATATCGATCGGAACGAGTGTTAAGCTACTGGGCGTGGCCACGCAGTGGTGGGCGGGGCCACCCATGTACAATCCGTATAGTACCATCAAAGAGAATTTGAGTTGGTTTCTAAGTGAGGCAGCACCACTAGAGCGATCAGTTGCTCTTGGTCCATCATTTCGGGATGCGCCGTATATTTGTCGAGCCCTTGAAATCGCTGAAATGACTGATAGCTACAGTACCTGGGCAGTTTTGTGAGGTTATTTCTTAGTCAGTTTTCATGGCATTTGGTTATTTATTCTTCTATAGTCGCATTGCTTAGTTCTTAGGCCGACTATAAAATGGCGGTTCCTGCTGATCAGTAGTAACTAAACGGCGGTTCCTGCTGATCAGTAGTAATCGATAATAATCGATATCGATCGACTAAAAAAACTCACGCTGAAATCGAGCAAGTGTAGTTGGCTGGGATGTGCACTGGATTGAACATTGGCGTAGATGTTCCTTGGAGCGATAACAGTGCCCACGGACGTCAAGGGACACATGGCATCCGTTGTTGAATAAACAGCACCTACAATGTAAAATATACATATTGATTGATTCGATAACAACGAAAAATTTTCTTTACCATCGCAAGGATTTGCGAGATAGGCACCATCCAACAGATGCACAAGCACGTACGCAGCTCGTGCACCCTCCGGCAGGGCGAAACCTGAACAGTAGTGCCAAAAAGTTTTATTGATCGATTTCCAGTACATAAGCGGAAATTTTACCAAGTACTAGG